GGGGGGGGGGGGCTTCGGGTGGCCGGCACGGGACTGGTGGTCCAATAAAGAGATAAAATGGTCATTGTGCGCTCCAGAGAGTAGCTGGACCTTCTGCAACACCTCCCCCGCTCAGAAGTCCTCTTAGGCCGGCTACCAGCTCTTGGACTTGCCAATGGGTCTGAAGGTCTGGTTCTGCTCCGGTTCTTGTCCTGTTCCCGGTGGGTTCCGTGTGGCTCTCTGAATCTGCTGGGCGCCAAAGTCACTGTACAGTAATAAGCACCATTTTTTTTTTCCAATCAATCAAAACTTTCCTTTCAGTATTCAGCAGAAGGCAACAGGGCTTCTGGGAAATGTACGCGTTAAGAGCGGAGATACAGTGTAGGCTTATTGAGAGAAAACTACAAAATGGCGGCGCCTGTCTCAAGTATTTTATTTTTTTGTTAACTTTTTACAGTATCCAGTACTGTCCCAATCACATAATATTAAAGTTGACAATGAAGGGTCCTGTACAGTTTATTTATTTATTTTCTCGTGTTCAATCTTACTTTGAAAAACCGCGAAAGAGCAAGTCTGCGAAAGACGACTGCAAAGTAGCAAGGGACTAATAACTACCGAATACCCCACCAAGTCGATGAAGACACAGCAATAAAAAGTCACACTTTTTGTAATGTTTGACCAACTTTAGGTTCGTTTGGGACGTATAGTTGTATTGCTACAACAAAAGGAGTGAATTGAGTGTCCAAACATGTATTTTTGTCCTAAATTGCTTTTATTTTTCCCAATATTTTGTTTCGAGAATGGGAGAGAGATCAAAGCATAAAGGACATCTTTAAGATCCTCAGTGCTGCTGAGGTTTAGACTCCATGGTGTCCAGATATGCGTGTTTGGTACCAGTTTCAGAACTTGACCTTGAAGAATCCCATTTATCGTTAAAGTGAGATGGTTCGCTTTAAAATCTATGTCACAAACATCCCCAGGGATTAAAAACATGTTGCCATCTGACACATAACAACAAGCGCAGCAATTTTCCAGAATAAAGTTTTTGATAAATTCAGGTGTTGACTGTCCAGTGGATACAGACTGTAAAACACTGTCATCTTAAAACTATAACAGTCAATATACACACATTTTCACTCTTTCTGTAGAATTTGTTGTATTTGTGTATCATCTTTGATAAAGAAATAGCCACATATACACATAATTTATAACCAGAAGTCGCCTGATTTGTAATAAATGAGTAAACAGTAATGTTTTGTTGCCAGCAATTTCAAGCCATTTGTTTATAGCAATGTAAACAGAGTTAGAGGGAGAACAATACAGTCAGAGATGCCAGCCAAGTGGTAAAGTTCTCTGTCATTTTGATTAGAAACATCGGCTATAAACTGCAAATCACAACGATTGAATGTTTTACACGTCCTTCAAGTTTTCTGGACGGCAACGTGCCACACCGTCATGTCTGTGACCGCCCTGCGAAGGATCCTCTGAGCTCTAAAATGACGCTTTAAGATTTAAATTTGTCGGAGGATTCGCTTCGAGTAAAGCACCACTGGATCTTTGCAGTCAGATTAATGAACAGAATCTGAGAGATGCTCGACTCTCGGAGCAAATCAAATGGAAAGTAATGAGAAAAACTGGACCTGTCCGCGGCCACCGCCGCTCTGCCTCCTCCTGACTGATGGGAAGATTAAGAAGCTCATGAGGCTTGATGTAAATGACTGAGATACAACAGGGAAGTTTGGAAAGCTGTGTTTTGTGTCACAAATGTGTCTGTAAATGTCATTTTTTGAACAGAATCTCCTTGATAAAGCCAATACGATTCCAATTGGCTAATTAAAACTGACTGAATCAACCGCAGTGTGTGAATTACAATCACTGTCACGATCATTCGTTTATCGACACTATTCTGCCTCTAGATTCCACTTCCACGCGCACACCGTGGACCTCGTCTACCAGAGCTCTTTGCTCCACACCCGAGAGGAGCTGGCGATGGTGACGGTGGGTCCCCTGACCTTGAACGCAGTAACGTTCCTGCTGGTTCTGATCAGATGGGGCTGTCAACTGATATTTGCCTCACTCCCTTCCTTCATGTCAAATTTTATCACGGCTCAGGGAGTGTGGACAGTCCTCGACCCCCTGGCGGTCTTTGCTGTGGACGCCGTCCTCGGGGTAAGTCACTTAAAAATAACTTGGACGCTTGTGCACTTTAAATAGGAGTTCACTTTATCTTGGCAAAGTGACTTTAAATTACAAAAAAGGAAGGGGGCGGGTAGAGATTGTGCTAGGTTGGAGGGGTGTCTTTTTTTGGCAGAGGGCTTGAATTTCTCAGTTAGTAATATTATTTTTTTATGATGTAATATTCAAAACAAACCTTGAACAACGATTGACCTAATTTGCCCTTCTCATAAACAAGAGTCTGAACTAGTTATTACGCCTTTTATGATGTACAATCTACGAAACATATGATCTCTTTCAGAAACTAGTTTTTTTCTCGTATTGTAGATGTCCAGTCTTGCTCTGTGACACTAAAGCTGCTTTAGGGTACAAATCTGTCCGTTTGGTGTCATTTTTCAAAATGTCTCTTCAGCGTCTCGCCTACACCCCCGACACACCAGTGGGAGACGCAGCCAAGCTTTACTGGCACTTTTATCGAGTCGACCAGTCGGGCGCTGCAGGAGTCATCATCACTCTGTTCCTTTACTCGGTCCACTTCCTGCTTTCTGTCACCATACTTGCTGTTTACCTGCTCAGGTGAGACACACAGGGGACAAGGCATAAGAGTTGCATGAAGCCCAAAGATCCACGACAGCTTTTAAACTTGATACAACTCCGTCACATCACCCTGTCACCGCATAGGCACGGAGCATCTTTGTCAAATTGACATGTCCATGCACGGTTAAATTTCAGTGTCTTTCAGTCAGACTGTTGTCTCTCCTATTTCATCTCATAGTAAATAGTAGTAAAAAAAAAAGTATATTTTAATTCAAACTGGAGTAATTGATCTAATTTCCCTACTCCTGAAAAAGATGCCCCAAACTTCCCGACCTGGTAATGTAAACAACAACAAAAAATGGTTTATTTAATGGATGGAAAATGTGTTTTTCAAAGTCAAACTACATTAGGTGGCTGGGGTGAGCTGGACTGGGAAGCTCAGTCGTCACCTCCTTCTACAGGTGTGCAGTGGAGAGCATCCTGTGCTCCAGTATCAATGTGTGGCATGGAGGCTGCACATGTCTGTTGGAGTCAGCCTCCCCACCATCACAGACATCTACACCTCCAGATGCAGGAAGAGGGCCACCTGCATCATGAAGGACCCCACTCACCCAGCACACACACTTTTTGCCCCGCTCCGCTCACGCAGAAGGTTGAGTGTAGAACCACTAGACTGAGGAACAGCTTCTACCCTGAGGCTGTTGGTTATTGATATGTGCTGCTGACTATCCATGATGCTGATCTCATGCTGCTGATTTATTTCATGTTGCTGTGTTCATTCGTCCTCATCTGCTCACACAGACTCATGCTTGTGCTGCTGTTGTTTGGCGCATTGTTTTGTATTATTAGTTTATTGAATTTCTTAGTTCATGTCTTGGATCTTACTACTGTTTTCTCTACAATTTGTATTTCTGCTGGATGTAACTGGGACCCTATGTCCATAGTTTCGTTTTCGTTCCACCTCATGTACCACTTGTGATGTGAATGACAATAAAAAAAAAACTTGAATCCTTGAATTAATCTGTTCAAAGAATCAAAATAAGATCAATGTCTTCATGCAGAAATCAAGGTCAGGTCTAGAGAATAAAAACCCATTGACTTACCATCATCAAACCACTTACTGTATCTCTGAATGCATGTTTTCTACTGGTCTTTATTGTAAGCGTCACACAAATGCACATAATGGAAAATAAAAATTTCTAGAAGAACAGCTGATGAAGAAATGTTCCACACCTTGACTTTCTGGACCTCTGAAGACACCTCCTGTAGTTCATGAAGTTTTTATGCTGCTAACAGCTGCTGCTTCTGCTGACCCTTACGTCGCTTCCCACTCACCTGTTGATATTATGGATTCCTTCAGTGGTGTAGTTTATATTTTTGTAGTGGGTAAACTGTGGTAAAGTTAGTTTTCCATTGGACGTTGGACACCGTTGAAGCCACTGAGCGTGAATATCCAACGTCCAATGGAAAACTAACTTTACCACGGTCGGTCCGTATACTGCGCTTAAAAACCAAAGTACACTGGTTAGTACAATGTAATCATCAATTTATTTTGATTTTCAAGCATAATGAACATTTCCAAATTTCTCTGATGCTTATATTTGAATAAATGAACAACAAACGTACAACAGTTGGCTTTGTATTAAAAACATATAGAATTTTTAAAACAGTATCAAAGCAAAACATGTTCAAGTATTAAGTACAATACAATAATTTGCTGGATAAGCGAATGTAAAAAACAAGCGCTGCATACTAATAGATAATAATAATAATAATAATGTGTTATGTATTGTCATAATTGTATATTCTCATATAATGGCAAAATTGTCTCTTTGCTTTTAACTCATCCACCATCAGGTGGAGCAGTGGGCAGCTATGGAAAGTGGCCAGGAAGCAACTGGGGATAGGGCGTCCTGCTCAGAGACAACACGAGATGTGCAATGACCGGGGATTGAACCCAGGACCTTCTGGTACTGAGTCAGCTGCCCTGCCCCTACACCATTTCAACCTCTAGATTATTGTTACGGAAGCGTTTAACTTTTGTTTATCGTATCAGTGACACGTGCCTAATGACATGTCATCTATCATTGGGCACTTTTAAGTGGACATACTGAAATTCTTAAACTTTTCTAGTGGGTATGCTCCATATACCTTCTATTGCATAGACTACACCACTGGACACCTTCAAACACAGGGGATACTAATTTCTACAGAAACCCAGTCAGAAAGGAGTCTGATCCACCAATTTTATACCCAGACCCTGTTTCGCTTTCTTATTTTGACCTCGTGAGCGCCTCTGCAGCAGAAAATCTCCCCCGGTGAATTTCATACATGAATATCAACAACTGGAAATGTGTCGAAACCATCCGCACCTGAACATTCCCAGTCTTCGAGAGTGAAGTCGGTTATAAAGTGGCGTTTTTTCCCCGGATTCTATTACCATCAGCTTTGTTTATCACCGTTTGTGCGCTTACAGAATTCCACATCAATCCGTTATAGCAGCAAAGTTTAACTCTGGTTTATTTGAGGTCATGTAGATTGTTGCTGTAGGCCATATAACAGGATGACCCTTTTCAAAACACTCTGATCCCCACCAGCCTGCTGCTGGTTCACAACAGTCTGTCCGCCTCACGCCAAATTTAAACCACCTCATTCAGCTTTCACTTTCTTTCTCTGCAAACACACACAGAAAGAAAAAAGAGAACATTTAGGCAAATATTGATCCAGCACATTTCATTTGTTCTCGATGATACCGTGCATCAAAGCTATGCATCCAAGCACACTCCTTTAACACACCATCCACTGCAACTAGTCAGAAAATGTACCATTTCCAAACAGATGTGTTTTGGTGCAGCGTGAACATATAACCCCCTTTTACATTATGTGATTAGACTGAAGATTGTTCATGGTTGGCTTCACTGCACATTTCATACATACAGAAATTCACTGCATATATGGTAATAAGCATTCATACTCTAAATAAATAGATGGTGAGCTCCTGATTTCTTGTAGATTGAGGTCAGCCACGTTGAAGCATTTACTTGAAAGCTTTGCTTTATAGCTGCGCCTTGAAATAAAAGAAGTCGACTAAATTAAGCTTTAAGAGGATAAATAAGATCAAAACATGATAAAGGTAGGAGTCTTTTCTTGTTTAAGGTCCATTTTTTTTTAATGAATCTTATTTGCCACAGAGAAGTAAAACAGTAATCAGTGACTGATTAACACTGATTGTTACTCTTTAAAGAAAAAATGGAGCACATTTGTAAAATGGAAATAGCAAAGCACGAGAACATAAGCCTACAGTCAAGGTCAAGGCCAAGGTCAAGGCTCTTTATTGTCATTTGCACTGCATGTGGTACAAGAGGTGGAATGAAATTGTGTACACAGTTACATCCAACAAAAGTATAAATCGTCAAAGTAAAACAGCAATAAGATTTAAGATATAAACTAAGACATATGTTAAACACAGTGGAAAAACAATACGTCATTCATATAAGACAAAAATCCAACTAAAAAGGAAATGACATCCATATAAAATAAATCAGTTTTTAATTTTCCACAGAGATGCCATCAAAGAATTAATGTTATGCAATACATTTTTGACATTTATGTTAGCACAAATAAATAAATACATTGACTCAATTTAATTAATGACATATACAAGCTCCTGTGAATGATGCTTATATATTTAGTGAAAATTAATAATAAACACTTTATAATAACTAAATAATTGCATCCTAATTATCTGCGGGAACATGAACTTTAGTCCAGTTTGTAAAAAAGGTAGTGACCTTCATTTACTTTAACTTCTAGTATGTTATTAGTAAAGGCAACCCTTTCCATATTCTTAAAGAACTCCATATTGATGTAATGAAGTGATTTCACGAAACTTATTAAAAGGTTTAAGTGTCTGCTGAATTTTTCATTGAGAGCACCGTGTGTGGCGAGAAGCTGGATTTAACGATGAGGATAACTTCAAGTGTGAACTCAACAATTTGTTTTTCTTAAACTGTTAGCATAAGCATTAGCATGTTACAGAAATGAGTCATATCTGCAAAAAAAATGTCTAAAAAAATCCACTTAAAACCATCCATCCAATACAGTTTAAATGAGTTTAATTAAGTCACAACAGAAGTTGTCTCAGGGCACTGTACAAAATGTTACATAAAAAGCCAATTAGTAAAAGTTTTCTAACTACAGAAGCAGCAGATTGTGTTGAATCTTCACTTCGTCGCAGTCTCCCATCCTGCGCAAGCACAAAGGAGACAGTGGAAAGAAAAAACTCATTTTCAACAAGAAGAAAGCTCCAGCAGAACCAGGCTCAGAACGAGCAGCCACCTGCTTCGACTGGCTGGGTTTGAGAGGACAGGAAGGAGACACAGACAAATACAGAATGGCAGGTCCAGGTGAACTTTCTATAGGAGAAAAGGCAAAAAAAAAAAGTTAAAGATAAAAATAATTACAAATACAAATAGGTAGAGTAAGTAAAGACGGCAGTAGCGTGAGGAAACGTGGTCAACTTGTCCTACAGTAGTCTAAGCCTACAGCAGCATAATTAAGGGGTAGCTCGGGAAACCCAAGCTGACCCTAACTATAGGATTTATATAAAAAATTAATCCCAGTCTTAAAACTAGACAATGTGTCAGCCTCATGGACAGAAACTGGAAGTTGGTTTCACAAGAGAGGAGCCTGAGAACTGAAAGATCTTCCTCCCATTCTACTTTTGGAAACTCTAGGAACCTCAAGTAAACCTGCAGTCTGAGAGTGAAGTGCTCTGTTGGGGAAGTATGGAACAATAAGATCTGTAATACAAAATGGAGCTAGGTTGTTGAGAGCTTTGTATGTTTGGATGTTTCCTTCCATCTAGCTCTGAAGGGTGTTAGCTTTACCAACTGCACCACAATGTCCCTCCCCACAAAAAAAAAACAACATTTTTTATAGTCAATATACTGTAAATAATATCAGTTTATTAGTTATTATTAAAAAGAAGAAGTGGGACCAAAGAGCTGCATGTGGCCCCAGCACCACAGGTTGCAGAGCCTTGAGCTAAATAGATAAATATTAAAAGAAAAACCATGAATAATGTCGTTGTCCACTGTTGTCCATTGTTGACATCGTTCTTTGTTGAAATCAGGTCTCTCTTGTAAATGAGTCCTCGAGGCTCAATGGGATTTACCTGTCTAAATAAAGGTTGAATGAATAATGGCTTCAGTCCTTCAGCTGACATGGATACAGGGTATAAGTTGGAGCTGATCGCTTTATTGGGTAGTTTCTTACTAGATAAGGATTTCTGATATAAACCTGCTTCTAGAAAAAAAAATCAGCTTCATGTGTACACATAAAATGGACTGTTGCTTCTTTTATTTTTATTTTTTTACTTGCATTTAATGTGGCGTCTATTCATCTCTTTCAAAACAATACATCCTCCAATCTGTTAAACTTTGTGAACACTAGGATAAATGGTGTCATGGGGATTTTGAGTGTAATTGCACTGGTGTTGGAACAAAACTGAAGTTTTGAACTTTCATTTAGGGTCAAATCTTCAAAAATTCATGTTCACATAAGAATACAATCTATCCATCACCATGCCTTCAAAAAGACTGGATTTTTTTTTTTTATATTCAATATTACATCAAGACCATTTTATATCAAATATTAACGGATGAAGAAATGTTTTATATGATGCTGTTTTGTTCCATTTGCATTATCTTTCTTCCGTTGTGACCGTGAAATGTATTCCATATGTTAAGATAAGGTGACCCCTACACTGGAGAACATACAGATATGAGCTTTACCATCCGGGTCAAACCTCACATAAGAACAAGTTCAAGAATCTTTCACAGACTCGAAATTAATCTGTTTTGAAACACAGAGATGCAAAGACTGAATTCCTCCAAGAGAACGACTGCATAAATGAATGGGAAGCAAAATTCAAGTGTAGGATAAAAATGATCGCATGCTATTCCTGTGTCTGAGGTCAAGATTCTACAAACATTCCTCTCCCAGGAGCGATGGGGAATAATGCAGGGTTCAAAGCTCCGGAGCTGCTCCTTGTGTAAATCCTTGCCTCCTTGATGTTGTTTTTATTTGAGAGCTGATTACCCTCTGACTGACTAGAATCTCTGTGGAAGGGCACAAGGTCTGCTGGTTTTGATGGTCAGCCAAAGTATTCGTTTACAGACATGGTGTTTCTTTTTAGGGGTTGGCTGCATGCAACCCGTGTGTGGCAAAACAAAAATAACACTTTACTTATGTGCACTCATCTGGAGGTAGGAATCAATACGCCTTCTGCGCTGCACAACACTTTCTTGTGACTCAAACCGAGCTTTCCAGACAGATGCGCGCTCGTTGCATCTTGAGTCTTTAAAGCTCGGCATTAACTCCGAAGAACATCCCAGGATCTGACGCCCACATGAGCAGATGGAAAACCACACAGACATCCAGCCAAACATGGACACTGCTGCAGCCAGCCCATGTAAAAAAAAAAAAAAAAAATCCCTCCCACTCATAGGCCAATTTGTTTGATTCCGTTTGCTATTTTGTCTGATGTATTATACTTTAGAGAGCATCACCCAGCAAATATGCGCTGTTCAATCAATAAAAGTAGACTTTTTTTAACCAAAACCCAGTCAGTCTGTCTGTTTTACAAAGAGAAATGTACATACAGGTATTATTTTTGACCAAAGGACAGCTATAAGTCTGACTGTCCCTCATATAGCGTTTGACCTCTGAACGCTACAGTCCCTATTTCGGTACGACTTTACTCATACTTCTATTTCCTCTTCTTTGTACTCATACCGTACAGATTCCACAATGATGGTCGCATGCTGGACGTCTTTCAGCGACTCACAGCCAAGGAGGGTGCACACTTCCTGCCTCAAGACCTGGAGCTGTCAAATCAAGAACTAAGCTACATCGTCAAGAAAGCAGAGCAGTGGAGAGGCTTCAATGGGGAGAGGCGTAAGGTAGAATAACCACATTAGTCTCTTCTCTCTTCTACTGCTTCTACTGTAACTATTGGGGATGCTGTTGCTTTCCTAAATATATAATCTATAAAGTCACTATGAATTGTTGGATTGGTTTGAGAATAATGAGTTGTCTGTCACTGGGGATAATAGTGCAAAGCTGCTAAACTGACTGTAAATTAGGCAACGTTAAAGGAAAACTCACTGGTCACTCTGAAACACATATTCAGTCTATAAGAGGATGCATATCATAGGCTCAGTTGATATCATTTATATTTTCTTTAGTTACATGTGAGAAAGCTGAGAACTCATCTCAGAGGTCTTTAGCTTTGTTCTAATTAGTGCGAGATAATTACCAAAAACAGAGGGTAGACTAGCAGGCTGCCCGATTAGTCTGTGACAACTGATTTCTACAGATATTCCGCTGAAGAGAGACTTCTCAATCAACACTAAAAGAGAAAATGCTTTGTCTGACAGTGTTTTTGTTTGAACATTACCATATGAGCACAGATTGAACAACTGGAAGATAAATAGAGGCCAGACTGAGATGGTTTGGACATGACCAGAGGGGGGACAGTGGGTATATTGGTAGAAGGATGTTAGAAATGCAGCTGACTGCCAAAAACCAAAGAGAAGATATATGGATGCAGTTAGAGAGGATATGGAGGTGGTTGGAGTGTGGACAGAGTGAGATGGAGGATGACTCGCTGTGGAGACCCTTGAAGAGGGAAAAGCTAAAATAGAAGAAGACAATATCATAAAAAGGCTATCTCATGTTTAACAGTCCAGCAGAGGTCAATGGTGATGTCATAGAAAAGGGCAATGGGTGATCAATTGTTTTTATAGTTTTCAAAATGTAAGTTCTAGACAGGGGGAAGAAAATGCAGGAATTAAACTGCAGCATACGTTCATGTATTATTTTGGTCACACATGTCATGCTTCATGTTTATTACCATCCCTGCTCGTCTCTGGGCTCATGTGAAAATATATGGAAGCAGCATCCAGAACAGTCTTTTCTGGTGTCGGGGCAAGACCTAAAATGAAGAAGTACCAGTTTCTATGTACAAGACGTCAACAGGCTTGAGTGAGCCAAATGATGTTCTACAACTGAAACATGCATTTTTCATTCACACAGTATAAAGATAAAAGAAAAACAAGTTCTCAAAGCCTCAGTTGAAGCAAGCCATCAGATTTTTCAGTTGAAATCATCCTGAGTCTGTTGTGTTCATTCCTGGTCATCTAGGAACACCATTCTGCATGTTCCAGAAGTGTCTTTGTTTTGACACACCAGATTTCAATGCATGAGCTACTCACTGACTTCTGCAGAATTTGATTTGAAGACATGCTGAAGAGCAGGGAAACAACTAAAACATGCAGGATAGTGGCTCTCAAGGACCAGGATTGGACACCACTGGTCCAAGTTTGTTATTGGCAATTCCAAGTTGCATGACCAGAATACTTTGACAGAGAAAAAGATAAATTCTTGAGGGTATGCATATCACTCTCCACGTAGCCCTCCATGCTAGCATTCCAAGCTAAAGTCATTTTATGAGGACAAATGACAAAGTTTTAGCTGTTTTGGTTAAGCTATAAAAAAAATGAGACCATGCACACTTTCCTGCAATATCTCAGGAGATGGGTTAGCTACCAGAATATCTGTTGAAGATAATTCTGTAATTCCCAATAAAATTTACCTCATCACTAAAATTGACAGTTAAATCCAGTTTAATGTCAATTAGCAATCATGCTAACTTGAATAGGACTGACTGAAAGGTAATCACAAACCTGTCCATTAGTTCTGGAGATATTTTGCTGAAAATTAGACGGAGTTAATGCAAACAATGAATGCCAAAACTGTGCAATCTGTTAGCGTTCAGAGTATACATCAGGGATGACTCTCAGCTACCTCCCCAACATTGTCAGCTCAATATTCGTGAAACTGACAGAATGATACTTATTTTTTGTGTTTCTAAATCAAGTAAGTTGTTAATGACCTTCTTAAGTTGAACTTGCTTCAAAAGTTAATCAGTCGTGGGCAGCTGTGGCTGAGTGGTTGGAGCAGTCGTCCTCCAATGCACGAGGTGGGAGTTTGAATCCATCAGCAGTCACATGCTGAAGTGTCCCTGGGCAAGACACTGAACCCCTCACAGTCTCCGATGTTTGTCCCATTGGTGTATGAATGTGAAAGCACTGATTAATCTTTGTATAGATCTAGTAGAGAGCTGTATGAATGGGTAAACGAGGCACAGGTTGTAGTGTAAAGTGCTTTGAGTGTCTTGATAAGATAGAAAGGTGCTATATTCTATTTACTATTTATCATTCGTGGAGGCCAATTCAGTGATTTTACATGAAAGCTTCATTATAATCTATTCAGTGGGATATTGATACTGATGTTCATTGGATATTTTTCGTAAAGACATAAGCTGGCACATGCATTCACACAAAGACGAGCCTAAAAACATTATTGTCCACTTTCATCTTTAAGCAACAGGCAATAATAATTATCAAGCTCCCTTTTCCCTGACAAAAATGTTCCTCCAAACTGTTTTTACTTAAAGCAAAAGTCACATTTTCTCCTACATTGTAGCCCTTGTTCTAACAGGTGACTGCAGTTACACAGGGATTGACGTGTTACCTTGAATCAAGAAGGATTTTCCATTTTATCACAGTGAAACAAACCAATGAAAGCTAAAGTGTAAACCTTTGATCAATGAACAGCCGATCCAGCAGCTGAAGGCTTCTTTCTCCACCGTTGCACTCCTGCACATCTCCCTCCAAAGCAGCAATTACAGCATCCTTCATATTGGACCTAATTTGGTGTTATTACACTGATAAAATGCTAACACATTCCGTGGCATGATGAAAATTTAGGGTTATTGCATTTTAACATTTTTACACTATTCAGCGAGACAATTTTTCATCAAAATAAGATAGGCGTTGCCATTACTTTATAATTATTGTAACAGTTTCTTCTACCAAAAGGGTCACTTTCCTAACTCAGCAAAGACATATCCCTATTAGACTAATTTGCCTACATGCAAATTTTGTCACTTTTCCCTCATTAACTATTTATCATTGACAGAAAAAAATATATATATTCATGAAGGCGAGCACAGGAGCAGCCCGACAAAGCTGAAACTAATATTTTGCAACTCTAATGATTTTTTGCATCCTTAATTAGATAGAATAGGGTTGATATGATTAGGTCAGGATGTAGTGTTTTTCATTAAAAATACATTTCAGAAACTGTATTCCAAATGTGCCCTTGCAATTAAATAATGAATCCGATGCATTCCTTATTATGGAGCCAATTAATATCAGAGGCAAGTGCGTAATTTTAATAACGGTGGGCTACGAGGCCTTCATTAGCTGACTGAGAGAAAGGAGGGATGAGGAAGGAAAAGAAAGGTATTCACAGGAACAGATGTAGATTTTTTAACAAGTTAAGAAAGCGTGCAATTGTCAGTCGTGAAAAAAAAAAAAAACACACAGTGCTGTTTGTTTTAGAGTAACTTGATGTCAGAAGGAGATTGAAGTAGAAATGAATCCGGTGAATACATTCTGGAACACTAAAGGTTAATTTTTAATATTTAAATATTCACACTGCCCTACAGAGGTAATAAAGCTGCATTGATCATTAGGCAACAATTTGTTGCTTCATCTGTCAGAAAATCTTCATTAAAAGTAAATTACAAATGCAGCTGCCTGTTTGTTTTGTACACTGACAAGTTTTCAGCCACGGTTGTGCAACTCAACCAGAACGCCGTCCTCGGGTCAGTCTTCAAAATCCCCTTTTATTTTCATTTCCACTGCATCCTTGTAAAGCTGAGTGCATTTTGAGCTGTGACAAGATGTAAAAAAACAGCAAAGCATGCATAAAATCCCCAGCTGGAATGATCGAGTAGCTCTTGCTACAGATGACCTCTCCGTGGTGCATGTGGGGAAACAAAAGTATGTGCACGGAGTCCCAGTTACATCCAACAATAAAATGTAAAAGAAAAACTGTAATAAGATCCAAGATATGAACTAAGAAAAACATTAATAAATATACACTAAGCACTAATAACACAAAAACATCACATCGAACAGCAGCACGAACATGAGTCTGTGTGAGCAGATGAGCACGCATGAACACATCAACATGGATCAGATCAGCAGCAACATGAAACAGATCAGCAGCAACATGATGTGATTTTTCACAGTGATTATTCTGGTTAGAGATTCATGAGTCTAACAGCCTCAGGGTAGAAGCTGTTCCTCAGTCTAGTGGTTCTACACTTAATGCTCCTCAACCTCCTTCCTGAGGGGAACAGGGCAAAAAGTGTGTGCTGGGTGAGTGTGGTCCTTCATGATGCAGGTGGCTCTCTTCCTGCATCTGGAGGTGTAGATGTCTGTGATGGTGGGGAGGCTGACTCCAACATCTTCTGTGCAGCCTTCACCACTCTCTGCAAAGCTTTTCTTTCTGCAGCTGTGCAGCCTCCATGCCACACGTTGATGTTGAAGCACAGGATGCTCTCCACTGCACACCTGTAGAAGGAGGTGAGGACTGAGCTTCACAGACCAGCTCGCCTCAGCCGTCTGAGGAAGTAGAGTCTCTGATGAGCTTTCTTGATCAGGCTGGTGGTGTTGTTGCTCCAGCTGAGGTTGTCATTCATGTGTACACCCAAGTACTTGTAGCTGGAGACCACTTCCACCGCAGATCCTCTTATGTTCAGGGGGGTATAAGTGTGTTTGTTCCTTCTGAAGTCCACAATCATCTCCTTTGTCTTCTTCACATTGATGTGAAGGTTATTTTCTTTGCACCAGCTCTCCAGGTGTTCCACCTCTTGCCTGTAGCTGGACTCATCACTGTTTGTGATGCATCCCACCACCGCTGTATCATCTGCAAACTTTACAATGTGACAGCCTGGATGGGTAGCTGCACAATCATACGTGAGCAGAATGAACAGGAGGGGGCTCAGCACTCATCCCTGAGGAGAGCCAGTGCTGAGGGTTATGGT